CTCTCCTCTCCCTGGTGACTTCCACCATAGCATGGACATTTCAACCCTGGCATTGTGTTCACACGGCTCCTCGGTACACGGGTGGGGACATCAGAGTGACCACGGTCACACGGGAGCACCCACTGTGTGCCAGGCCTGCCCTGGGCTTTACACACAGGACGTTTCAGGACGCCGCACTGCCTCTGCCCGCCCCCGCACTCCCTGAGCTGGCAGCGGGACCCTGAGCCCCATTTAACACATGGATCCTGAGGTCCAAAGGGACTCACTCAACCGTTTGCTCAGATGGAGCGGGCACTGGAGTTCCTGCTCGGTCCTCCCCGTCCGGGTGGGCGGTGGCCTGATTCCTCTTTTACAAACACAGGCTCAGCAAGGGTCTAGGTGACTCACCCAAGGGCATGCAGCTGGAAGGGGCAGGCTGGCTTCCAACCCAGGTCTTTCTGACCCAGGGTAGTACCCGCTCATTTGTGTCCCGGCCCGCGCACCTCTCTGCTGGCCCTGACGTCCCCACCGCCTGCCTCATCTCCAGCAAGTGGGCCTGCCTGCGTGGCGCCCATCTGCACTTTCCACAGCGGAAGTCGTGCGGGAAGTCACGCGTTCAGCAAATACTGTTGGGGCACCCCTGCCCCCTGCCGCCAGGTTCTGCTCACGGCATCGGACCAGGGCATCGGACCGGGCACAGGCCCTGTCCTTTAGAGCTTGGGGTCTGGTGGGGGAGGCAGGCGGTGAGCAGGAGAAGTGGATAGGCTAGAAGGCGGTGAGGAGTGTTGTAAGGGAAACTGAGGCAGAGAGGAGTGGCTGAGGGCGCGAGTAGCCGGAGGTCCCTGAGGAGGTAACCTCTGAGGCCAGACCTGAGGGAGGGAGCTGTGCAGGCACGTGGGAAGGCCCCCAGGACAGGGGGAGGCCAGCCGGGGAGCAGCGGAGGCGAGGGAGAGGAGCAGGGAGGGAGTGGGTGCAGTGGGCCCTGGAGGCCGTGGGGCTGGCTCCCTGGGTCCCCGCCGGGGCTCCGTTCACCGCGAGAGGAAGTGAGCAGAGTCTGGGTGACTTGAGCCTTCCGTCTCCCTCCAGGTGAACGAGCGGGTCCTGAACAGGCTCCATCAGGTGCAGAGGATAACACGGCGACTTCAGCAGGAGCGGAGGTAACCCCTCGCCAGCCCCCCGGGGCCCGTGCCTCTGCCCCCAGCCACTGTTCCCGCCCACTCTCAAGCTTCTTGTGGGCTTCCGTCTGCCCAGGCCTTGCAGGGAAGGGGATGAGTGAGGGCCGAGCCAGGGCGGGGAGGCAGGTCCGCTCCCTTTAAATGGGGTATGCAGCAGAACACATCAGGACGGAGGCCCTCGCGTGCTGTCAGGCGGTTTGCCATGTGCCTCTCAGCGAGCAACATCCCTCTCTGAGCCCATTTCCCATCTCAGCTGAGGTGGGTAATGCCACAATCTCGTGGCTGCTGAGGGTTGAACAGCAGCTCAGGGGAGGGGATGAGCCCAACCCAGAGCCTCTCGCTACACGCTGTGTCCCATGTCCCCGTGTCTGTGGAATGCTCAGCCAGTTCTCCCCGGCACCCAGCTGACCCACAGGAGGCGCCTGCCCTCACCCACCCGCTTCCCCTGCCTCCTCGCCATTCCTCCTCACCCCAGTACCCCAGGGCTCGGCCCTGGGCGCCCCCGTGTGCACACCTCCACTGTCCAGCACGGTAGCCCCAGGTGGTGACTTAACCCGACTTCGTTAAACTTGAAATCTAACATCGGTCCAAGTAAATCTTAATTCACTGGCGTGAAAGAAAGTTCCACTCCTCTGTTCACGTGCTCGGCAGCCGCCAGTGGCGATTTTTACCCAAACTGAGATGAAATGAAAACTTCCATCCCGCAGTGGCGCTCGCCACACGGTAGCTCAGTACCACATATGACAACTGACATCGAACCCCAAATAAAGGACCTCAAAAAGTCAGCTCCTCCGTGGCTCTTGCCACGTGCCAGGGGCTCCATGATGGCAACAGGTGGCCCGTGGCTACGTAGCGTGTCGCATGGGAACGGGACGTTTGTGTCCTCACAGGAGGTTCTGCGTGCCCTTCCAGAAAGTCTCGCAGCACCACGGTCTTTGACTCCCGTCTGCAGCTCTTTGAACTGTGTCCCTTTGTCAGCCGCCCACTGGACGGTGGCTTCAGGTCCCCTCACAGGCACGCGAAGCTAGGCCTGACCTCGCTCCCTGCCCCCGGTCCGCTCCCCCTCAGAGAACGGACCCTCCCAGCTGTTCCTCTCTCTCACCTCCTCGCCCCACGCCAGCCGTACTTGCGCTGGCCTCCCTGGCCCTCCGCAGGCTCCTGCCACACACCCCGGCCAAACCTTTTCCCCCAGTTGTACCACTAGCCAAGATCTCTCCTACAGTAAAACCAAGAGAGTTTGTGGAAGGGAAGGCTGGCCTTTCTGGTTCAAACATCCGAAGTTCGGGAGGGCGTCTGCACACGCTAAAGTTCCCTTAACTGTACAGATCAGTCGGGGTGATTGTGCCCTCGGAACGGTCCACCTGGAGCTCAGCCCCGTGCTTCTCGGAGCGTGGCCCCTGGACCAGGGACCTGGGCACTACCTGGGGACTTGTCACAAATCCAGGTTCCAAGGCCTCACCCCAGACCTACTGTGTCAGAAATGCGGGGGGTGGCCAGGAAGTGTTCTAAAGTTTAAGACATGCCACTGTGTAAAAACTACGTGGCCATTCCCCCAAATTTAAAAGCAATTACCCTACGATGTAGCAACTCCACCTATCCGTAAACCTCCCAGAAGAGTTGAAAAAAGGGGTCACTGATGTGTCTGCCCACGATCATAACCGTTTTCACGATACCCCAAAAGCGGAAGCATTGAGGGTCTATCTGGGTGGATGGAGAATCCAGGGTGGCCCGCATGGAGGAGGACCACCCACTCGCAGAAGGGGTGCCGCGCCACGAACCGCAAAGACGTCGTGCTGAGTGCAGTGGGCCAGTCCCAGCAGGACAAACACTGATCGCACTCCGGTGAGGGCTGACGATCACGGAGCCGGACAGGAGAGCGGTGGCCGCTAGAGGCAGGGGCATGGGGAGCTGTTTAATTTGGGGAGGATGGAGAGTCCTGGAGACAGATGGGGGTGACGGCTGCACAAACTGTGAATGTGCTTAATCCACCAAGCTGGACACTTGACTGTGGTGGCAAATGCCGTGTTAGGTGTATCCTACCACAAATTTTTAAAAATTCTTTTTTCAAAAGTTAAAAAAAAAAAAAAAAAGAGGAAAGGCTAGATAGACCAAGTCACTTCTCTGTTCAGAACCCTGCAGGGAGTCCCACCTGAGTCAGAGCCAGAATTATCCTACAGCGGCCAACAAGGCAGGCCCTTTGTCACAGCACACATGCTGCTCCCGCTCAGGGCCTCGGCACTGGCACTGGCTCTTCCTCCCGCGCCACTCCCTCACCTTCTCAGTGAGGCATCCCCCACCATCTTTTGGAGGTTCCAGTCCTCTTCCGGGTATCCTGTGTCTGCCTGCCTAGCTTGCTGTGTGTTGATGTGCTGATGTCCCCCGAGTTCAGTAGGCACAGGGGATTTTGTGTGGTTCCCCGATGTAGCACTAGGCGGAGAACCCTTGTGAGCCCGTGGGACACACACCCAGTAAGAGACTGGACACATGGGGCGTGTGAAGTGCCCCGCTGGGGTGCTGGCCCCCAGGCAACGTTCAGATCTTACAAAATCCCCGGCGTTCTTAGAAGCAGGCACGGGGGGGAAGCAGAGAAGGCAGTCCCCGGAGGGCTCCGCACCCGTCTTTCTCTTGCCCTCCTGTTACTGATAAGGACACCGGCTGACAGCGGAACGTAGGCCAAGCACCAGGAGATGCCCCTTCTACCTACCCTGTCACCCAACCCCGCTCAGGGTTGTCCTGTGCTGTTGACAGAGCAGGAAACAGGTGCAGAGAGGTCCCCTTGTCTGGCCCAGGGTCCCGCGGGCTGCTCACATACTTGGCGCCCAGGTAGACTTGGAAGCTCCAAATCTTCTGGGTCTGTGGGTCCAGGGCAACCTTGGCTTCAGAGCCAGGGCTGGGCTGTGGGGTGTCCCTTTCCCCACCCACCAGACGCTGAGGTTGCAACTCTGGTGGCCTCCGGACACAGGTTCCTCATGAGAGTGCTGGACGCTTATGGTGATGACTACCGCGCCAGCCAGCTGACCATCGTCCTGGAGGTGAGTGCGGCCTCCGGGCAGGTGAGGGGGGCAGGCGGGGGAGCGGGGGCTGGGCACCAGGACAGAGCCTTCACCGGCTGCCCCTTCTCCTCACCAGGACGAGGGCAGCCAGGGCACAGATGCCCCCACCCCTGGCAATGCTGAAAATGAGCCTCCAGAGAAAGAGGGCCTTTCCCCACCCCGAAGGACACCTGCACCCCCAGAATCCAGCAGCCCGACCCCCGGTGAGGGGCCCAGTGGACGCAAGAGGCGGCGAGCGCCCCGGGACGGACGCCGAGTGGGAGCTGTGTTGAGTCCAGAGCTGGCCCCGGTGCAGGTGGGACCAGGGCTCCTGGGTTTGGCACCAGTGCTGTGGGGGCTGGGGACCACTGGGGAAAGGAGGTAGGGCTGGAATAGTTGGGGTGGGTAGGGATGGAGAAAAAGCTGGGAAAAGCCAGGTGAGGGCTCTGGTGGAAAAGGAAGGAGAGAGACCTGGAGGAGGCTGGGGGGAACAGGAAAGAGGACTAGAGCAGAGAGGGAGGGACAGTCGGAGGCCACTGGTGGAAGGGAAGGCGGGAGTGCTGGGGTTTTCGCCCCGGTGCACAGGGGAAGCCTGCTCACGCCTGCTCCTCTCCCCCAGATTAAGGTTGAGGAAGACTTTGGCTTTGAAGCAGATGAGGCCCTGGACTCCAGCTGGGTTTCTCGGGGGCCAGACAAACTGCTACCGTACCCCACCCTAGCCAGCCCTCCCTTTGACTGACCCCCACCCCCAATAAACTGACCCCCACAAACGCCTTGGCCGTCTGCTGTTTCCACCTGTGCTCACACACGAGCTGATTCTGGGGTTGCTTTTCGCATTTTATTGACTACAGGGGAGGGGCCTCCTCCGTGTCACCGGGGGTGCTCACAAGTTCTTCAGCCACTCCAAGCTGGGGCCCTGGGGGTCCTGAGGGTGGCTGGGCACATCAGGCATGTTCCCATCATCCCGGACGGGCACTGTGGGGCAGGAGGGCGGGCCACTGAGACCAGCACATCTTGGGAGGCTCCGAAAGGCTAGTCTGTCAGTTCATATTCAAAGAGGGAAAGGGAACCCCAGGGGAGAGAGGGGACACAGAGAAGCAGGACGATAGAGACCTAGAGGCATGGAAAGCACAGAGAGAGGCAGAATGACGAAAATCCAGAAAGGAGTACAAATGTGGAATGACAACAGAAACTCAACAAAAGTGTGAAAACAGACAGGAAATGAGTTTTACGGCACATGGACTAGATCTCAGAAGAAAGAAGAAAGTCCAGCCCACACTGCAGATTCTCAGACGGCGGCAGAGGAAAGACCTGCGCATGACTCTTCCTCTGGCAGGAGGAGGTTACCCCCCCAACCCCCACTCCCATTTGGAGCCAGTCCTTGCTCCCGCTCACCTGGATAGCTGTAGGGCGTCACCTGGTTGATCATGGCGGCGTATTTCGTGAAGGGGCTGAAAGCCGGCAGAATTATAGCTGTGGAGAGACAAGGGTGAGGCCAGGGGAGGGGGCGGCTTTCAGGCAGGGGTGGGAGGGGAAGGGGCAGAAGCAAAACCTTGGCAAACTAGGAGTCAAATACATGGGAGGAGGGGAGCAGGGAGTTCCCGACCCTCCAGGAGACCCCTTGGCGTTATGGGATCCCCGTTTACCAGCAGGAGAGGAGATGGGAGCCAGCAATTCAAGGACACATGGGATCTAGAGAGCCGGGGGTGGGGGGTGGGGGAGCCATGGGGGTGGTCACAGTATTCAGTGCATGTGCAGAGGGGGTCAGGGAGCAGAGGGCGGTGCTGAGGGGAGTGCTTTGGGAATTTTCCAGAAGAATCGTGAACTGTTACAAACTGAGGAAGGGAGGGCTGTAGGAGGACTAGTCGCTGGGAAATTACAGTCCGCCCAGGGTGGGAGCCAGGAGTCTGGGGGGCAGGGGTAGGGGCTAAGAGCAAAGTTCCAGGCGACACTGTCCGATAGAATCGTGAGAGCCACACCTTAGTTTTACGCCTTCTAACAGCCACATTAAAAATAAAGTTGAAAACACATCAATTTTTAAAGTGATTTAAGCCAGCATACGGGAAACGGCGTTTCAACGTATGATTGAAAGAAGCGGAGATATCTTGCAGACTTGTCACCCTCTCCGCAATCCAGCGTGTCCTTCCCACGAGCGGAGTGTACCAGCTCAACTCCTAGGAGCTGCGCTTCAGGCGCTCAGCGGCCAGGGTGGCCCGCGGCTGCCGGAAGGGACAACAGCTCTCGAACCTCACCCGCGGCGTGTGGCCCACAGACCGGCCGCGCGGACAAGATCTGGGGACCCGGGGGATGGGCCGCGTCCCCGGCCCCAGCCCAGCCCCGCGCAGTGACAGCCTGCATGCTAGCGACCTCCCCCACCTGACAGCGCGGGCTGCCCCGATCTAGGATAGCGCCTGTCCACAGAACCGCGGAGGGATTTTCACAGCACACGGCTTCCCCTGCGCCGCCGCCACCCCACGAGCTCCCCACCGAGCGCGGAGGGGGCGAGGGTGAAAGACGGGGAGCATCTGGACACTTATTTTTGTCGCTCAGGTGGTTTCAGGGCACAGCGGGGCTGAGAACCTCTCCTTGGGGAGTCGGGTTGGTGTGCCGGGGGTGGGAAGGAGCGGGCTGGTGAAGGGGTCCTAATATTCGGGATGGGGTGGGCAAGAGGTCGTCGTGGGGGGGCCGACACACGAGGGGAACACGGAACGTGGAGGGATACAGGATGGAACGCTAGTGGGGAGCACGGGGCCTTGGGGCACGGTGGGGGCGATGCACGCTCACGCACCGAGGCCCCCGATGGTGAAGGACGCGACCAGCACCGGCTCCTTGGCCCAGGCTTCCTTGAGGAAGGTGGCGAGTCCTGGAGGGGCGGGGGAAGAGGGTCACCCCAGCAGGGGACGACTCCGGTGACCTCTAACCCTCTCGCGCCGCCCCCGCCCTGGAGAAGCCCTCTCGTGACCTCGGCATCCCCCTCCGGCCAGGACCCCACCGCCTCCACGGAGGTTCCGCCGTGCCCCAGCCCCGGCACTACGGGGGCTCCCGGAACCACCGGACCCCGCGCGCCCGCGGCCGCCCTCACTTACTCCCGGCCATCTTGGTCGCAGCGTCGGCGGCAGCCGCGCAGCGCGCGGAGCACTCTGGGAATTGTGGTCCCTGCGCCTGAGTCTTCGCTCTCCGAGTCTGCGCGAGAGCCCTGGCACGGAACTACGGTCCAGGGCGGGGGGGGGGGGGGGGACGAGGGCGCGAAGCACTCTGGGAGTTGTGGTCCCCGCGCGCCAGCCTCAGCCCGCTGAGTCTGCGCGTGCGCACTGGAGAAAAACAGCTGTCTGAAGCGGTCACGGAAACGCCGGCGGCGCTGCAGAATTAAAGGCCGACCTGTCTCCTCACCTAGGAGTCCAGCCTGAGGTGTGCTCCATCCAAGCCACGGCCCATCCAAGGCGGAATGCAACAGTCTTCATTTTAGAGTTTACTCACGAAGGCCCGTTTCACAGACGGAGAAACGGAGGCCGGGAGAGGACAGACGACACTATCATTTGCGGTCGCAGCTCAACATCAGTTCGTCCTGGAAGCTTTCACTCTCGTCCCAGAGGGTTAGGGGTCGTCTGTGGATCCTCTCAGCGCCCCCTGTGACTTCTAGGGTAGCTCACTTTGTTTTGTAACCTAGCTGGTCCGCCTGTCTTTAATTCAGACTGGGAGCTGCGCGAGGGCATTAATAGGGTCTGACGCCTCTCTGTGCCCCCAAAGTAGCGCCGCACAGGGTCTGGTACATAATACGTGCTACTTTCTAGTCTTTTTTTTTTTTTTTTTTTTTTTTAAGCTTAATTGATGAACACAACTGGTTATGACTGCCCCTTCTCCCAGGTTTTTCCGCAGCACCATGGGGCTGTGACACAGTCTCCCAGAGGCCCCCACTTCCCTCCTCCCTTCCTTAAACAGAGCTCGGCTCTGGCTCTCGGACATTGCATTTCCTGAGAGGTGAGACGGCACAGCTGAGCCCTGGCTCCTGCTTCTGCTCCAGCCGAGATCTGCCCGCCATGGCTCTGGTGCTGATCCTCCAGCTCCTGACCCTCTGTGAGCCACCGCCCCCTTCTCCCTGGGTCTCAGGCTGGTTGGGGTGCAGAGAGACAGGCTCTGGGGACCTGGACACCCTGAGTAGGGAGGGGGAAAGGAAGAGGGCTACTGACTCTCCCTGGGGCAGGTGCGCCGTGGTCAGGCAGCCCAAGCTGAAGGTTTGGAATTCTAGACCGGAATAAGGGGACAGGACCTAGATCCTTGGGTCCTATCAAGGAAGGACACGTGGGTCCTGAATTCCTGTTCCTGGACAAGGAGAGTGGGGGCAGCATTTTCTGGGTGTTGAGGCAGGAGGGTGCTAAGGACCTGAACTCCTGGGGATAGCAAGTAGAGTCCGAGATTTCAGAGCAGGAAGAGATGGAGCCAGAACACCCGGGTCTCTGGGAAAGGAGGGAGCTGGTGACCCAGACTCCTGATGCCCAGGGAGAAGAAACTGTGGGCTCCGATTATTGCCTCCTGGAAAAGGGGGAGTCCAGAGGTCTGAACACTGGGTGTAGAGGCAAGAGGGGGCTGGGGCCAGACTTCAGGCTTCTGAAGTAGGTGGGGATTACGAGCCTTGAGTTAGAGCTACTGAGAGAGGACATTTGGGTTAGATTCCCGTTTCCCAGAGGAAGGATTTAGATTCCTGAGTTTGCAGCGAGGTAGGACTGGGAGAAGCCTAGCGCTCTGAAAAGACTCAGCCCCTCCACCTTCTACAGGGCCTCTGTGTCATGGAGACGTCACTCCAGCTGGTGAGTAATATCGCCCATCCACTCACCTGCAAGCTGCTAGAAGCCCATTTCCAGTAACTCACATTTTACTTTGGTGCTCCGCCTCACCTCAGGTTTCCATATTTCCCTCCCTCTCCTCTCTTCTTTCATCTTTTCCTTCCCTCCCCTCCTTCCTTTCTTTCCTTCTTATCTTACTTCCTTTAGTGACCAGCATAGGTGGGTAGAGAAGACCATGAACTTTGGAGCTAAAGAGACCTAAGCTGGAACCCCACTTTCACCATGTTATTCATTTGCAACTTTGAACGAACCACTGCTTGCTACTCAGTTTCCTTCTCTGTGAAATGGGCTGTTGTGAGGATTTAATAAAACCACCCACGTGTACGGGGCGCCCGGCTGGCTCAGTCCGTGCAGCATGTGACCCTTGATCTTGGGGTTGTGAGTTTGAGCCCCATGTTGGGTGTAGAGATTACTTAAAAAATAAAAGTATTTAATGAATTTTTAAAAATCACATGTGTAAAACCCTTGACTCAAAGCTTGGCACAGTGGGGGGCTCAAGAAATAGGACCTCTGGCAATGCCAATTATTCCCCCATTTGGAAGCCCATTTCCACCCGAGTAGGATCATTCACCCGGAAATGAGATCTCTGTCTCTCAAACCTCCCCACTACACCACAACTTCAAATAAAAATCTCCTGGAAAACCACTGATACCTTAGCTATCAATTTGTTTTATTTTTTAAAAGATTTTATTTATTTGTTTGACAGACAGAGATCACAAGTAGGCAGAGAGGCAGGCGGTGGGGGGTGGGGGGGAAGCAGGCTCCCCACTGAGCAGAGAGCCCGATGCGGGACTTGATCCCAGGACCCAAGGATCATGACCTGAGCCGAAGGCAGAGGCTTTATCCCACTGAGCCACCCAGGGTCCCCCAGCTATCAATTTATTTTAAATTATTATTTTTAAAGCTAAAGCTAACATATATTCATGGTTTAGAACATGATTCCCAAAGGACATATAACCTCCCTCTTCCCCTTCCTCATCTTCCTTAAATAAGCTCTGAATCCTTACAAGAAATTTCCATGCATTCAGACGCATACATATATTTATATACTCCCTGGTTTTCTTGCCAAGGCAAAATGATATTTCATGACACATTATTCTGCACGTTTTTCACTTTACAATCTCTCTTGGAGATGTGGCCATATCGTTATAATTAACTGCATGGGTTTTTTTTTTTTTCAAAAGATTTTTATTTATTTATTTGACAGACAGAGATCACAAGTAGGCAGAGAGGCAGAGAGAGAGGAGGAAGCAGGCTTCCCGATGAGCAGAGAGCCCCATGCTGGGCTCAATCCCAGGACCCTGGGATCATGACCTGAGCCGAAGGCAGAGGCTTTAACCCACTGAGCCACGCAGGTGCCCCTAACTGCATGTTTTTAACAGCTACGGAACGTTTGCCGATGTGTGGCTGGGGTCTAGTTGGCCCTCTTCATGCATAGTTAGGTTGTTTCCCATGTCCTTCCCCAGCCCCACGCCAGTCAGCGCCTCAGTGAGTACTCCAGTGTGAGCTTTCTGTGCCCGTGTATGTACTGTTGTCTAGCATGAAACAGTGGAATCATGAGGGTATGCCCTTCATGTATTTAGACAGAAAGGAATAAACCGCTTTCTCAAAAGGTTCACTCAAGTGTACCTACCTACCTGTTTCCCCGTGTCTTCACCGAAATAGAATATAAACCATTATTTTAAGTTTTGACAACCTGATAGGCAAAAAAACCCCTGTTGTTTTAATTTTTTTAAATGATTGCTAGTAACATTAAGCAACTTCCCCCCCTCCCCGTGTGTTTTCACCTATTGGACTTCCTCTTCTGTGCCCTGCCTGATTCATGTGTTTTGTCCAATTTTCAACTCGGCTGGGTTTGGGATTTCTTTCTATACTCTTAATCTATGTGATGAATGAATGAGTCCTTTCTGCCTGTGATGTTGCTTGCCGTCTAGCTCCATTTGTCTATTCTCCTACACAACTTTAAAATTTTGCAGTCATCAAATTAACCTTGTCTCTTCTGAATTTTTTGTTTTATATTTTAAGATCGCTTTCTCCATCCCCAGGACGAATGCATTTTCCTATATTTTCTTCTAATACTTTTACAGTAAAATAAAACAATATAGGTCTTTAATTAACCTGGAATTGGTTTGGGGGAATTTGGTCTGGAATTTGGTTAAGGTAGGGCTATACCTTCTCTTTTGTTTTATTTTTTTTCTCATATAAATAGCAAGTTTTGGCAACTACTGAAATATGTTGACCATGTCACAAATAGTCTGAAGAGCATTTAAAATTACAGATTTCTGGGACCCAATCCCTTAACACTATGTTTAAAAACCATGGAGTAAAGCTCGGCAGTTGCCCAGCTACGCTCATTTGCAGCGAGGGCTGCCAACCCCTGACTGGGGTTCACCATCTCCCCTATTTTAGAAGCAGGAAACTAAGGATGAGAAGGAGGAAGGGGCTGCCCCAGGTGATTCTCTTCCCACCCCCATCTCCTCAGGCTCCCAGGAAGCCCAGGGACCCAGCAGCCCTGTTAATTCAGTCCCCCCAGCCTTATCCCTCAAGCCATCGCTGGGGGCTCAGCCTGCCGCAATTGTAACCCCTGGGGTCAATGTGACCTTGAGGTGCCGGGCACCTCAACCTGCCTGGAGGTTTGCACTCTTCAAGACTGGGGAGATCACCCCTGTGCTGTACCGGGATGTGTCCATGGAGCTGGCAGAGTTCTTCCTGGAGGAGGTGACCCCAGCCCAGGGGGGCAGTTACCACTGCTGCTACAGGAATCCAGGCTGGAATCTGGGTGTCTGGTCTCACCCCAGCGATACGCTGGAACTGCTGGTCACAGGTGAGGTCCTGGCAGGGGTGGGGGGGGGCGGGAAGAAGGGACTTTAGGGTGTGATGAGGGATGGAGAAGGAGGGACGGAGAAATACAGGGAGAGATATAGTGAAAGAGACATACAGAGACAGACTTGTACCAGGACCCAGAGCAACAAGATCTATGAGGGAGAGAGAGAGAACTGGAGAAAGGGGTGATCCTTAACCAGGGGACTGTGCTCCCCAGGTGACCTTTCTGGCAATATCTGGGGACACTGCTGGTTGTCACTACCACCAGAGACGCTGCAAAACATCCAACAATGCACAGGACAGTCCCCATCCCCAACCCCTACAACAAAGAATTATCCAGATTTGAGCGCTGAGGTTAGGAAACCTTGGGAGAAACCCAGAACACCAGAAGAAGCAATTCCAGAGGCTGCCTCTGAGATCCAGGGTAGTGAAACACGCAGGACTGGACACAGGAAGAGAATTTTGGTGAGGCTCCCTGGCCAAGAGAGAAAAGGGGACATCCAGGGAGAGAAAGACAGAGCCACAGAGAAAGGTGCACTTGGGGACAAGACACACAGGGAGCCGGGGACAAGGATGCAAAGGGCGCAGAGACCGACAGGGAGGCAGAGACACTGTGGGAGACACTGGCAGAGATAAAGAGAGACACGATGGGGGGAGGTAGTGCAGAGTGAGGTACAGGCTAGGGGGCCGGTGACGGGACTGAGGGAGAGAGGGCAGGAGGGAGGGAATGAGGAGGGAGGTGGGGGACCGGGCGCGAGAGGAGGGGCGGGAGCGAAGAGGGGCGAAGGTCCCGCGGCGCAGGACCACGCCAGCGCTCGTCCCGGTCCGTGCCCCTCGCAGACCAGCTGCCGCCCCCGTCGCTGGTGGCACTGCCCGGGCCGGTGGTGGCGCCCGGAGCCAACGTGAGCCTGCGCTGCGCGGGCCGCCTGCGGGGCATGAGCTTCGCGCTGTACCGCGCGGGCGAGGCGGCGCCGCTGCAGTACCGCGACTCGGCCGAGCCCTGGGCCGACTTCCCGCTGCCCGGCGCCCGCGCGCCCGGCACCTACAGCTGCTACTACCACACGCCGTCCTCCCCGTACGTGCTGTCGCTGCGCAGCGAGCCGCTGGTCATCCGCGCCGACCACGGTGAGAGCGGCGCGCCCCGCCCCGGCCCCTGCTCCGCAGCCCTGGGTCCGACCCGGGTTCCTCCCTGTTCTCCAGCCGGGGGGGTCCGAGCCCCAGCCTCTCTCCCTGCTTCCCAACCTGGGGGTCAGGACCCAACCCCCCTCCTCCCCAAATCCAGGAGTCCAGGACCCCTGCCCCTCTCCACTACAACTTGGAGACTGGGAGCTGCGTCCCCAGTCTCACCCTGGAGGCTGGAGACCCAGATGGCGGGCCCAGACCGAGGGTTCCGGAGCCAAGGCCTCTCCCTTGCCGTCCTGCAGGCTCAGGCTCCTTGGACTACACGCAGGGCAACCTCCTCCGTCTGGGGCTGGCCGGCCTGGTGCTCATCTCTCTGGGCACACTGATCATTCTTGACTGGCGCAGCCCGAACCATGCCCCAGGTGTCAGGCCCTGAGCCCCAGAGGACTGGATACAGATGGCTGCAGTGTGAGAAGACCTCCCAGAGACCAGGATTCCTGGGGTTGGACTGGCCCTCCCAAGAGCCCCACAGTCCCTCTGGCTGTGCCCAGCTTCTGGGTCATAATAAGCTTCCTACAGTGTGTCTAGCTCCCTTCTGGGTCATTCTTCTAGTAGGTCAGTGGAAGGCTCTATCCGTGGTTAAGGCTTCCCGGTCACAAGGCCTGGGTTCGATTCCCAGGGCCAGCCACCGCTCACTCACTGGATTATTAAGAAAGAGACCTTTCCCAAGTCTCAGTTGCACTGATTGTAAAATGGGCTCACTGATAATACCCACTTCTTAAACTTGTAGGATAAAGTGGGCAATACACGCAAAGCCCTTGAAAGTGACTGGCCCTAGTAAATGCTCAATAAATGTTAGCTATCCTGTATCTGCGGTTTCATCTGGGCTGGAATGAAGTTAGCTTTTTTTCTCCCCCTCCACTGCACATGAAAAGCTGAACCTTTAAGCAATGCACTGCCACTTCCTTCATGACATCATCGCAAACCTCTTCCAAACCCCTCCTCAGTCCTTCCCCAAAGGTAGACCGAGATCAGATCAAGGACAACTTCTTCCCTATTTAAAGCTTCATTTGCATGCAGTGCAGGCTGTTTTCTGGAGCTGTCATTATGATTAAGTGGAGTCCACAGTCAAGGCAACAGCAAGGGCAGTGTGTGCCCTAGAGCTCTGACCTGGACACTTACACCTGATGCCTAGCCTGCTTCCCATGGCTCTTGGTGGCCTCCACAGTTGTAAAGATAATGCAAACCCTTCCCCCTTGCAGCCTGTTTGCTCTCCCCTCCTGCCTCTCTTTCTGGAAGGCCTGACTACATTCAGTTTCTCCAGAGTTTATTAATTTAACTTCTGTTTTAATCTTGGTAACTCAGATGCCTTTATCATCCTCATACACACATTTTCTGTCTCTAAGCACCTCTTACCGCTCCTTTCTTGCTTTATACCTAATTTTGATGGAGCATACATCCTCTTCTACTGTTACTAAATTTTCCACCGTCCTCTCCTCCTCTCCCCACTTTATGAAGGAGAGGATGCCTTCCATTTTTTGGAAAGCCCCTCCAGGGGGATGGAATAGCCTTGAGCAATCTACAGACCCTCCTGAGTTTTTAATCCCTGAAAGAGGAGGGGAAGTATCTACAATGTTGGTTGGAGATAACCAAACAAGATAACTTCTCCCCAACATGTGGAGAGAGATCAGAAAAGCTCAGGTCAGCAGTTTTAACCTATCCTTCCCACCCCCCTTTTGGGGAGACATGAGCAGGAAGCAAAGCTTACATTACAGCCCTGTACACAGATCCATTTACATCTATAAACTAGAGCTCGAGTTCTATGAAGCCATATTCACATATTATTTTATTATAATCCACTTTATTAAAAATGCTAATCATGATTCTCTTCACTGATGGAGCAGCTCCCTAACACCCACGATGAGACACGATTTGAGGAAGTTGAGCAATATTTGTTGGTGTTCTTTGGTTACAGAAACTGATCTCTGGACTTGTGTAAAGACTGGGAAATTCAAAATACAGCTAAACAGCATAAAATGATGCTGTTTCAACACCCAGTTCTCCTGAGATTTGGATACTGCAATTAAGCAGAACTGAAATTTGAAGTCAGATTAGCTGCCTGGGTCCACCGACTTGCTGAACGGATGGGAGGAGAGACTGGAAGCAGGACTCTCTGGGTCTGTACTGAGTCCTGATGCGGGACTCCTGCGGAGCATATCCTGGGCTATCTCCCCGTGAACTGGATGTGGATGTGGGAAATCAAGGGGGAAGCGGGGACCTGGTATCACAGGAGGGACCCAGACCTGGATGGGGCTGCAAAGGCATCAAATCCAGGCTCCTCGTTCTACAGATGGGCAGTGGCAGCATGGAAGGGTGGCATGAAGCCCCCGACAGTCACACAGGAAGTCAGTAGCCCACGAGGGAGGCTCCCCATGAGCTCGTACTTCAGCTCCCTGCATCCATTCATTCTCCAGTTCCTTCGCTATCCAACCACTCCCCCCACTCACTGTCATCCACTGATTTTCATCCTTGTTTCTTTCTGTCCTGGCCAACCATTCATCCCCTTTCCTCTTGCTCTTTCTAAGATTTTATTCATTTATTTGACAGAGAAAAGAGACGCAGTGAGAGAGGGAACACCAGCAGGGGGAGTGGGAGGGGAAGAAGCAGGCTCCCCACAGAGCAGGCAGACAGATGCATGGGGCCGGGCTTGATCCCAGGACTCTGGGATCATGACCTGAGCCAGAAGGCAGCCGCTTATCAACTAAGCCCCCCAGGCTCCCCACCTCTTGCTCTTATTTGAATATACACCCTTCCTTTTGCCCTTATGTATCATTCATTCATTCTTACATTCATTCATTCCTCCCTTTATTAATGTTTGTCAATTTATGAATCCACTGACCTATTTATACTTATTCAGTATCCATCAACCAACCTATGCATTTATTTATCCAATGAGCCTGAAGATTTCTTCTTCACTGGGCAGAAGGGGAGGGGGAGTTGGAAAATTTAATAACAACAGAAGAGGCTGTGTGCCCCAAATGTAGGCATAAATCAGGAAAGGAACACATGAGTGTTGAGTGGTGAGAAGTAGTCTGAGGTGGAAAATGTGTGTATGAAGATGAGAAAGGAATCAAGGCTAGCCGGATGAAAAACATAATATTATTGACAGATAATATTGATAGAATATTATTTTTATTTTTAAAGATTTATTTATTTAAAGATCTTATTCATTTGTTTGAGAGAGAGAGAGAGAAGCAGCAAACGTAGTGGGGGGAGCTGCACAGGGAGAGGGAGAAGCAGGACTCCTGCTGAGCAGGGAGCCCAATGCGGAGCTCGATCCCGGGACCCTGGGATCATGACCTGAGCCCAAGGCAGACGCTTCACTAACTGAGCCACCCAGAAGTCCCTATTTATTTATTTTGGAGATAGAGAGAGCACATGAGAGCATGGCGAGGCGCAGAGGAAGAGGGAGAGAAAATCCTCAAGTAGACTCCCCACTGGGCGTGGAGACTGACGTGGGGCTTCATCCCAGGACCCTGAGATCACAACCTGAGCAGAAACCAAGAGTCGGCTGCCCCGCCTGCTGAGCCACCCAGGTGCCCCCGTCACTTCCACTCTTGAATGAGGAAGAGAAAGGGGAATATTATCACATTTAACTATTGCAAAGCAATTTACTGTTCTTGAGGCAGTGGTTCCTTTTTCTCTCTCTCTTTTTTTTAAAGATTTATTTATTTTAGAGAGGGGGAGGGGCAGGGAGAGAGGGAGAGAATCTCAAGCCGACTCCCACTGAGCGTGGAGAACCCCATGTGGGGCTTGATCCCACAACAACCCTGAGATCCCAACCTGAGCCAGAACCGAGAGTCGGATGCCTTCCTGACCGCACCACCCAGGTGCCCCCAGGCCGTGATTCCTTTTGTCACCCACAAATGCTCATCACTCCCAGGGTGCTCATAAGGCCCTTGTGACAGACCTGCTACCAGCTCTCCTTTCTACACGCTCACGCCTGCACCAGCACGCCCCTCCTTCTGGTCTCAGACTGGATGCTGTCTCCACTGCAGACTGCTGCCCGGCTCAAGTGTGTTCTCACAGAGCCCTATCGGACCCGAACTGTATTTGGATCCTCTCTCTCCCAGACGATCCTCTCTCTCCCTCCTCCCAAGAGGGACCAGGTGTGTCCGGGGCCTCGCAGTATGGCCTGCGGAGCTCAGCATGCTGCAGGTGACCCGAGTGAGCTCCGTACCTTTGGCCTTGTGCCTTGGGCAGAATGAGGTCCCCCGCCACCCCCACACGTGATGTCCCAATTCCTGGAATCTGGGAAAATGTTGTAGTGGCCAAAGGGTCCTCACAGTTGTGATGAAATACAGCATCATGAGGTGGCAGTGGGAGTGGGGTTATCCCAGATCATTTAGGTCCCATGCAGCCACAAGGGTCCTTATTTGTAAGAGGGAAGGGATCCGAGTCAGGGAAGCGAATGTAGACCCGGAAGCAGAGGTCAGCATGATGCAGGGTCACGAGCCAAGGAACGCAGGCTCCTCCAAATCTGGAAAAGTCGAGGAAGTGGATTCTGCCCTAGAGCCTCCAGAAGGAATGCAGCCTCTCAACCCATTTCGGACCTCCAGAACACAAGGATAAAAAATTTATGTTTAGGCCACTACTTTGTGACCCTTTGTCATGACAGCAAGAGCAAAACTAATACCGTCAGCTTCAAGGGAACCTCTTTCCTCTTCCCACAAACCCAGGCATGTTCGCCCTTAGGATTTCCCTTTCTGTCCCCAACTCTGCTTGTCCCCCCAAGTTCCCACTCATCCACTTGCACACATCTGTCCAATGCTCACCACAGGCTGGGCGCTGTGCTGGCGGCAGGCATAAGCCTGAAGCTCGGGGGGAGAAGCTTTAACCGAATTGCTACACACCGTATTGATTAGGGAACACTTCGAGTGGCTGTAACAAACAGACCCCCTCCAAGGAAAAAACCATGTGATTTTATTTCTCAGGGCGCCTGGGTGGCTCAGTTAGTTATGTGCCTTCGGCTTGGGTCATGATTCCAGGGTCCTGGGATCGAGCCCCACGTTGGGCTCCCTGTTCGGCAGGGAGCCTGCTTCTTCTGTGCCTGCCTCTCCCCCTGCTTGTGCTCCTTCTCTCTGTCAAGTAAATAAATAAAAAATCTTTAAAAACATTTCTCTCTCACTTAACAGTATGCAGTTGAAACAGCCTAGGGCCATTATAACGGCTCTGCTTTTGTCAACACATGGTTTTCATGCATGGTTCTGAGCCAGCATGAAGGAAGAGTGAGAGAGAGACAGAGCGAGAAAGAGAGAGATCACACGGTCATTTTTAAAGAGCAGGACCCCAGATTTGAACATGTGTCTTCTGCCCTCATCCCATTGGCCAGAACTCAGTTCCACGGCCAGGTCTAGCTGCAAAAGTGGCTGGGCTCTAGCGTGTGCCCTTCTAAAAATGGGGGGGCTCCTGCTACTTAAAGGAAGGAGGGGCGCCAGGGTGGCTCAGTGGGTTAAGCCTCTGCCTTCGGCCCAGGTCATGATCTCAGGGTCCTGGGATCAAGCTCCGCATCGGGCTCTCTGCTGGGCGGAGAGCCTGCTTCCCCTCCTCTCTCTGCCTGTTGCTCTGCCTACTTGTGATCTCTCCCTCTGTCAAATGAATAAATAAAATCTTTTTTCTTAAAAAAAAAAAAAAAGGAAGAAGGGAACTTGGGTTCTAGGAACCTGTGAACCGTCTCCATCAGTATGGCTATAGCAAGAAAGAAGAGGGAGATTTGAAAGCCTGTCATCGAGGATCTGATCTCATCTCAGAGATCTCGGATTGCTTTGCTGAAATGTAGAGGTGAGATCTGAAAGTTGAGCAGACTTCA